CCAAAGTCTTTTTTTTTTTTTTTTATTATTGTTGGTGTTGGGGGTTTTTGATTTTAATTTGAATGAAGGGAAGGGAAAAAAAAAAAAAAAAAACCGAGTGAAAAATGTAGCGAGACTTTTTTTTTTTTTTTTTTTTTGAATGCATCTATTTATATTTTCAATTGCCTTCGGTTATGCGTAATTGTAAATGGTGATTGTAAAACGTTTATTTTTTTTCGCTCTTTTTTCCTTTTCTTTTTCTTTTTTTTTTTTTTTTTTTTTTTTTTTGTGTGTGTGTGTGTGTAAATGCGGGGGGATATTGGAGGGGAGTATGTGTGCGTGTCCAGGTTGTTGTTGTTGTTGTTGTTGGGCTTCTTTTTTTTTTTTTTTTTTTTCCTTTGTGTTTGCGTGTCCGTGCACATGTATATGTATACATGTATATATATAGATGTGTGTGTATTTGACTTTTCTTTATCTCGTGCGTGGTCTACTGCGTTCTTTTACTTCTGACGTATTTTATGCGACTTTTAGTTGTTTCTTGTTTGAAATATGCTGCTTTCACTACTTGTCACCATTGGATTTGCCATAGTCGTGGCTGTGGCGGTTCTCGCGGCGTGGAGTGTGCAACACGTGCCCCCCTTCAACATCAAAAGCTGCCGTGCGTTGGTGACTGGCGGCAGCGCGGGTATTGGTTTAGAAACCGCCCGGCAATTGGTTCGTCAGGGTGCGAAAGTTGTTGTCATATCGGCGCGTCGGGTGGATGTTTTGCGGGCGGCGGCTGAGGAGCTCCGTAGGGAGGTAGGGAAGACCGGCACGCAGGTATTTTACGTGGAGATGGATGTGAGCAATGAGGCGTCTGTTGCTCACGCTGTGGAAGAGATTGAGACGACGATGACTGGTGGTGCAGGACTTGATCTCGTTGTGTGCAACGCCGGATTTTCAATTCCAGCACGTTTTGTTGATACATCGTCTGAGGATGTCCGCAAAATGATGGAGGTGAATTTTTTTGGATGTGTGCATGTGGTACGTGTGGTGCTGCCGGCGATGCTTGAACGTCATTATGGACGCATTGTACTGGTGAGCAGTTTGGCTTCACGCTGTGCAATTGCCGGGTATTCGTCTTACGCCGCCTCCAAAGCCGCCGTGCGTGCCTTTGCCCACAGTCTTGACATGGAGAACAGTTGTTTAGGGGTGCGATGCCAAGTTGTTTGCCCGCCGGATATTGAGACGCCAGGGCTACAGAGTGAAAACCTTCGCAAGAGTCCTGAGTGTAAGGCAATTTCTTCTTTTGGTGGCAATGTCCCCTACACAGCCGAGGCTATGGCAAAATGCATCGTAAAGAATATTAAACGATATCGCTTTGAAGTATCCCTGGGAATGGATGCCGTGCTTTTGGGTTGGGGATCTGCTGGTATCGAGCCGGCGACAAGTTTGTTGGAGCTCACCCTCCAGTTTTTCTTCTCTGGGTGGTTGCGGCTAGTCATGGCAGCCTACTCCAAGGTGCACTATGAAATCGTTCGGCGTGTGCGTGGAAGGGAATCCACCACAGTGCATAAGAAGGATACGTGATATCATCACTCCTCCTCCTCCACCTTATGCGGGTGAGGTGGTGGTTGTGGTGGTTGTCTATTGTGCCTATGTATCGACATTTTTTTTTCTTTTTTTTCTAGTAAAGAGCTTTAAAAGGAGGGGCGAGCGTAATTTTGTTATTTGGCTCTGGTATGAACGTCACGTTTGTGGAAGCGTGCTGATTGTTTGATTGTTTTTTCCCCTCTGCGCATGGACATAGGCTAGGCATAAATTCAGTGGCAACTTCTTTCTCCCTCTCTTCCTCTTTCTGTGTTTTTATTATTATCATCATCAACATCATCTTTTCTTTTTTTTTTTTTTTTTTGTATGTGGGAATTTCGATGAATGCATCAATGCCACTTTGGTACCCCAATTGTCGGCCGTTTTTCTTTCCCTCTTACTTTTGTTGCCTTTGGGTGTCGTTTTTGTGCCGTGCATTGGCTTGCGTTTGTTGATTCACCGACAACTTTTTTTTTTTTTTCTTGTCCCATCCCCCCACTTACTGGTTGTTGTTGTTGCGCTAGTTAATTTTGGCGGTTGCACATAAACACACCGCCACTATATTTATTTATTTGTTGTTGTTTTTTATGTCGGAGGCATGCCGTGCTTCGTGAATTCGTTGAGTGGTCGTGCGTGTGGGCTTCTTGCGGGAGCGGCGACAGCAGTTTTATTTGCATTTGGCGGCTTTAGTTATGGAGAGACGGGGTGGCTGCGTCGTGCACGACGGCAAGACACCGTTCCCCTGTTTGATGCCAGCGCTATCGAGCGGGTGGAGGAACACGCCCGATACCCCTGCCAGGCCTTCCCCGGTTACTCCGTTGTGGTGTCGAACTACTACACCCGCGTGCAGACGGATGACGTGCACACAAACGGCGGCGGCGGTGAAACGCTCCTCAAAAGGCTGCTTTCTTTGTTTTCAAATGACACGCACACCGTCGCCGATCGCGGGGATCCCTCGGCCGATGAGAATTTGTTGCATCTCGTGCGCGAGGTGGTGGGGGATTCACGGGCGCCGCTGCCAGACACGGACACTTCCACCACCGCAGTAACTTCTCCGTTTGTTGCCTCCTCGACATGGCCACTCGGTACGGCGAAGTACGCGGCTATGACAATGGAGCCGTCGTCTTCCTTTTCAGCTGCGGGTGAACCCGTTGACGTGATGCGACGTTTGGCGGATAGAACGACACACCAGTCGCTTATTCGCTGCGACCCCTTTGCCTCGCCATCTATGAACTGTGCGGCCGATGCGAGTTATTTGGGGGCGCCGTATCTTCGCATGATGTTGAGTGCTTTCCTTCTCCTGCCTTCGCCGTTGCCGCGATTGCGTGTGGCGGTGCTTGGCGTTGGTGGTGGTTCCCTCCCATCATTTCTGCAGCAACACTTTTCACGGGACATCATGCGGCTGGATCTGGTCGACGCAGAGCCGCAATGCTTCCGGGCAGCGGTGGAAGACCTCGGCCTCCGCGAGACGATGCGGGGGGGTGCGATATCGTGCCATGTCTCGGACGCAGCCGCATTCCTAAAGGAGGCCGTCACGGGGCTGAGTGAGGACACAGCTGCTGTTTTTCACTCCGGCGCTTCACCACCGTTCGTCAAGGAGGCCCCTTTAGTTGTCAAGGGTCGACAGCACGCACAGCGCTATGATGTTCTTTTTGTTGATCTTTTTGTGGGCAGCGCGCCCCCCGCGTTTCTTGCTTCTTCGTCATTCCTGCAGTTGTGTCATGGTGTGTTATCGTCGGTGGGTGTGGCGGCGTTTAACCTGCCAGCACCTGATCCCGAGTTTATGGTCAGATGCCGTCGAGTGTTTGGCCGCGGTAATGTTTTTCAGATACCCGTGCCGGCTTCCGCCAATGTTGTGGTAATTGCAAGACGCGTCGTTGGGAGTGAAATGGTCGACGGCGTGCCCATTTCACGTCGCCATTTCTATAGACGGGCGGAGGCACTGCAAAAGTCGCATGCGTTGCCGTATGATCTTGCGGGCCACTACCCTTTTTGGTGGCGCTTCTGGTGAGGGTGGCATCGTCATGACTTGTTGTTGTTGTTGTTGTTGTCATTGGTGGATAAATACAGACGTGCATACGCAGTGGCTTTGTGTGTGTGTGTGTGTGCCTGGGTTTTATTGGCATAGTGGGGAAACTGGGATTTTTTCTTGTTGTGGTTTTTCTGCTTTTTTTTCTTTTTTTTTTTTTTTACAGCTCTTTGTAATTTTATTTCTCTTCCCTTTACAGAGTTGTTTTTGTTGTTGTTTTTTATTCTTCCAAGGGATTATTTCTGTTTGTTGCTTTTTTTTTTTTCTTTTGTTGTGTTCACGCGTCCGCTGCCTCCTCATTTTTTTTTTTTTTTTTTTTTTTTTTTGGTTGCTGTGTTGGTGGTTGGTTGGGCCTTGGAAAGGTTGAACTTTATCCACCATTCACGTCAAACCAAAGAAGGAAGGAATTGAGTATTTAAGGTTGTTTTTTTTTTTTTCCTTTTGTTTTTACCGTCATGTCAACAGCGCTGTTGGCAGCACGCGCCTGTGCACGGACGATACTGTGGCAAAGTCTCCGTCTCTCTGCTTTTCAAGGCGCCGTCCCACATGTACTGCTCGTGGTAGACCGATTGCCGTGTACGCTGCAGAAGGTGCTTCTTGAGGGTTATATGCAGGAACTGGACGCCATCAACATGGGGTCGTCCAACCCGGTAGGAGGCCCGCCTCGTCTTGATCTCGACCTTCTTGCGACAACGCCCTCCTACAGCGACGGATTGGACAAGGACTGGAAGGTGACATACGGTGTATTGCCCTTTTCCGCAGGGTCCTTCTTGGAGGATGTGCAAACGTTGCAGGCGTTTTTGCGTCAGTGTGGTGCGCCCGTTGATACGGAAGAAGGGGGAATTGGCGGACGGTGGTCAGAAGAAAAGATGAAAGGTGTCCTTGACTCACTGGCACCCATTTTGTCGCCATACCGTGCTGACGACAATGCCGGTGGCTGTGTTGAGTGGAAAGATGCCCTTCTTCGCACTTTGCGTGCGGGGCAGCCACGTGAGTTGCTGGGCTGTATACTCATTCAACGTAATGCTTTTCAGAATGAACTGGAGAAATACCGCCTGCGACTGGACCTCTTTAAAATGGGTCTCCGAGTCGCTGAACATAACCACCTGGAGTGTATGAGTCGCACGGCAGATACTCTCGCCAGCGGGAAGGATGGCGGAAGCAGGGAACGATGCTTGGAGGAAGAAGAGATTATTTATTACATGCAATCATGTTCGTTGCAACCACATGTGGCGGAGTCAATGGGACGCGCCATTGCCGATTCCATTGATGCATTGAGCTGGTCGAGGCGAATCGTTGCTGCTGATGGAAGCGATGGCGTCAAATTGGACGTGGTACCTCCCGCATCCTTCTATGAGTCACTGTCCAACGCTGATTTGTTGTCCGTCTACAACGCGGGAGTGCTCCGTTGGGAGGGAAGTTGCTACGAGAAGAACACGGCCACGGGGATGGATCCTTCCGCCGCGTCATGGAATATTAGCGGTCCAGGGGCACCACTTCGTATCATATGTCAAGACGGTCAAGTGTTGAGTTTTGAAGGCGGACTGGAGGAGTGTTTGCTCAACACCGGCTACTATGCCGCCGCACACGCACCGGAGCGTAATTGTGTTCAGGGTCACCGTCAGCGCTTTCCTGTGCGTGATGCTGGTGAGGCGAATAAATTGGAAGAAGGGGCGGAGGAAAAAGAGGAGGGAGACATTGCATCTATGCGCAAGGCCAGCGATGCAGAGAAACGAGGGCGTTTAAAAAAGAAGGAGTATTTGGCAATGTTAAAACGTACAGGGAAGAAAAATGCGGCGGGACGCACGTCCTCCCCATTTGATGAGAATGACGATGGCGTTCGCCGTCGTGGCAATGACTGCGGGGCGTGTGTAGGAAGCAGTATTGGCGGAACATTCCCTGTTGGAGAGGTCATCAGTGAGTCCTTTGACCTGAGCAAACTGAACGGATCCTGCTCCGTCTTTGCATACCCGAGCCTCTTTAAGGAAGTCACCATGTCGGATCTAAATCCGGTGACAATGCGCATCGAGAATGGGATCGTCACGGACATTGGGCCCAATGCACCGGAGGAGCTTGTGGAATTGGTCAGTCTGGTGCGACAGGCAGAGGGAGCGTGCTACGTACGAGAACTCGGTATTGGTCTCAGCCCGCATGTGGGCAGGGGCCGCATTGTCAGCGATGTGACGGCGTTTGAGCGTCAATTTGGCGTGCACGTCTCACTTGGGCAGCGTCATCCACTCTTTGTAAAGCAGCCGGCGAAGTGTAATGCGGATGGATCGGTGGCCGTGCAGGTGGATGGACCGGTGCTGAAACGTAAGGCGGGAAAATATCACATTGACGTCTTTCTCGACGCTGCACGACTTGAAATGGGTGCGTTTGTGGTCGATTTCACGAAGGGTGTGTGTTCTTTTTCGTCGTCGTCGGCGGCGGCCGTGGCGTGTGCATGAGAGGTATATTGATAAAAGGGACTGAGTGAAAAAAGACGGGATTGGAGAGGAGGCAAAGGAGTGGGGTGTGAGATGATGGGCTGCAGTTGACGAGTTTTTCTTTGTCTTGAGCCCGTTGCTTCCTTTATTTTATTTATTTTTTTTTTCTCACTTTCTTTATTGCGCCACAATGGGCACGCCTACCTGTCCGTGGCGACGGGAGGGAGAAGCCCCTGTGATATTATCCCGGTGCTGAGGAGGGAGGGGACGGTGCAAAAGCACAGGCGCACACACAAAGAAAAAACACGGGGGGACGACTTTTTTTTATTTGCGTGCTGGGCTCTCTTTTGGGGATTTCAGTCATGCGGCGTACCATGTGGCTTCACACGACGGCGGCGCATTTTCTCTTGGATGGCGAATGCCGCCTCACACGGATGACCGATCATGTTGGTGTCCTTACACTCAACCGTCCCTCGCGAAAAAACGCGATTGGTCAGACACTCCTTCGTGAACTAAGCGAGTGCATCCGCATGTGCCGCGACCCGGCAAATGCCATCCACTGCCTTCTGCTTGAGAGCCAGGTCGACGGTATTTTTTCTGCCGGGGCAGACTTGAAGGAACGTCGTACCATGTCACTTGAGGCGTCACGTGCGTTTGTGAAGGACCTTCGCGACACCTTCACCGCGTTTGAGGATCTGCCGATGCCAACAATTGCCGCGGTTGAGGGCAAAGCCCTTGGCGGTGGCTGTGAATTGGCACTTTGTGCCGACATGCGTGTGGCCGGTGCGGCGGCGATGTTTGGGCTGCCGGAGACGAGTCTCGCGATTATTCCCGGTGCTGGTGGGACGTACCGTGCCCCAATGGCAATGGGTCTCAGTCGCGCGCTGTATTTTATCCTGACCGCGGAGCAGCTGACGGCCGAGCGCGCGCTGCAGTTTGGTCTTGTGAATGAAGTCGTCCCGGAGGGCGGGGCGGCCGCGGCCGCGTTGTCGCTGGCCGAACGTATTGCACGCAACGGGCCAGTGGCGTTGGCCGCGGCGAAGGCGGCGGTGCGTCACGGGTTTGGGCGGCCGCGTGAGGAGGCACTACGGGGCGAGGAGGCGCAGTACGACGTTGTGCTGCAGACGGAAGATCGTGTGGAGGGGCTGCGGGCATTCGCGGAGAAGCGACCGCCAAAATACATGGGGAAATGAGGGAGAGGGAGATGTGTACATATATATAAATATATATAAATATATATTTAATAGGGAGGGTGTGAGAGCAAAGTGAACGGGGTGGAAAATAAAAGGAACCAAAAACAAAAATCAAACATCACGTGCGTGCCGAGAAGGAAAAAAAAAAAAAAAAAAAGAGAGAAGTTTGAGAGAAATTTTTATTACCGCCCGTCATATTTCGTTTTTTTTTTTTTTTTTTTTTTTTTATTATCCCCCTTTGTTGTCATCATTATCTTCCATTTTATTTTAATTTTCTCTCTTCTGCCTTCACCCGACGTCATCTGCAGTAAACTGCAAGGAAAAACAACCAAAATAATAAGAAGAGAACCACTCAAGCAAAGAAGGGAAAAGGATTGCACATCCCCTCAGCGGAAAAGAAGGAAGAAACAGCAAACAACATCTTTAAAGGCACAAGAAGGAGAAAAATAATGTCTTCGGAAGACGACTGGAAGAAGAACCTCCTTGCACCCAAGAAGGATACACCCAAAAAAACAAAAAATGTTGAGTCTCGGCGCAACGTCACCTTTGAAAAATATGGTTTACGGCGTGAACTGCAGATGGGCATCTTTGAAAAGGGATTTGAGCGGCCGAGCCCTGTGCAGGAGGAGGCAATCCCCGTCGCGCTGCAAGGCAAAGATGTGCTAGCACGTGCCAAAAATGGTACAGGGAAGACGGCTTCCTTCGTCATTCCCGTTTTGGAGAAAGTGGACACACGAGAGCCACATATACAGGCACTTTTGATGGTTCCAACCCGTGAGTTGGCACTGCAGACGGCGCAGGTAACAAAGGAACTTGGAAAACACATTTCAGGACTTGAGGTGATGGTAACAACCGGTGGAACGACCCTGCGTGATGACATTTTGCGTCTTCAAAACCCTGTCCATGTGCTTGTGGCGACCCCAGGTCGTGTGGTGGATTTGGCGAGCAAGCGCACGGCGAAGCTTGACCGCTGCCGCATCATTGTGCTTGACGAGGCGGATAAACTCCTATCACAGGAGTTCACGGAATTGATAGAGGACCTTTACACCTACTTGCCTGCCGATCGCCAGTCTCTTCTGTTTTCCGCCACCTTCCCTGTGACTGTGAAGGACTTTGCAGACCGTTACCTGCGCAACCCGTATGAGATCAACCTCATGGAGGAACTGACTCTGCGAGGTGTAACGCAGTATTATGTCTTTGTGGAAGAACGGCAGAAAATTCATTGCCTGAACACACTCTTTAACCGCCTCCAGATCAACCAATCCATCATATTCTGCAATAGCGTTAATCGGGTGGAGCTGCTGGCGAAGAAGATCACCCAGCTCGGTTATAGCTGCTACTACATTCACGCCCGTATGCAGCAACAACACCGTAACCGCGTCTTCCACGACTTTCGTGAGGGGCATTGCCGCAACCTTGTCTGCTCCGACCTCATTACTCGTGGTATCGACATTCAGGCGGTTAACGTCGTGATTAACTTTGACTTCCCCCAAATATGCTGAGACGTATTTGCACCGTATTGGCCGCTCCGGTCGCTTTGGACACCTGGGCCTTGCGATCAACTTTGTGACGTATGATGACCGCTACAACGTCTACCGCATCGAGAAGGAGCTCGACACGGTAATAAATGCCATTCCGGGTGAGATTGACCCTGAACTCTACGCCGCATAAAGCGCAGGCCTGGAGGCGGTGGCAAAGAAAGCCGGGGCGGGAGGGAGCACAGAGTGAGAGAGAGAGAGAAGGAGAGGAGAATAAAAGGAGAAGAGGAAGAAGAAAACCAACCAACTGAAATGACAACGAGAAGGAAGGAAGGAACGAAGGAACAAACAAACAATGAAAAGAAAAGAGAAAAAAAAAAAAAAAAAAAGAAAGAAAAAAAAAATCCCACCCCAAAGAAAAAGGGGAAGGCAAAAAAAAAAAAAAAAAAAAACCGTTGGAATTACACACGCGCTCAAGAAACGAAAAAAGAACGAATGAATCGAGGAGGAGGAAGAAGAAGAAAAAAAAGAGAAGAGCACAGAGGCCGGAAGGGGTGTGGGTGGAGTGATGGTCTTCAATGAAAGTAATGCAACGAGTGGTGGGAGATGTGAGGAGGAACAACAAAAAACAAACAAACAAACAAAAAAAAAACGAAAAGCGGAGGAGGAGAGGAGAAGAAAAAAAAAGTATTGTGATGGGGAGAGGGGGGAAGCGTGAGAGTGAAGAAAAGGACTGGACTGCACTGCACTGCATGGAGGACGGACAGAGAAGGGAGAAAAACAAAAAAAAAAAAAGGAACAGAAGAGCAGAAGACACAACAACAACAAAGAAAAAAAAAAGAAGAAAAAAAAAAAGGCCTACTAGAGGAGGATGAAGAGGGAATTGACAGGTGAAGACAGGGACAGGGAGAGAAAGAGAGCAAGAAGAAGAATAAAAAGGAAAAAAGAAAGAGCAGGAGTGAGAAGATAGAAAGAGGGGAATACCCAAACAACAGCGGTAGTGACCAGGAACAAACAAGGATTTGCAATGGGGACGTACATAATATAATATATGTATGTATATGTCTGTATTTATTCGTAGAGAGAGAGAAAGTGTGTGTTTGTTTGTGTTTTATAGTGTATAGAAGCGAAGAGAAATAAAGGCAAGTGGTTTGATGGGAATGAAAGAAGGTGAAATGAAGTGGGCTTACATGCACATATTCAATATCCATGCATGCGTACAACCATATATATATATATATATATATATATATATATATACATGTGTGTGTGTGTGTTTTCTCTGGAAGGTGGAGGAAGAGGCGAAGTGGGTGTAGGGGAGAGGGAGGGGAGGGGAAGCTCTCACACGTACATAAATATTATACACACATACACGTACAAATACATGCACGCACGCACAGACAAGAGGAGGGAGAAGAAGAAGAGGAGGAGGAGGAGGAGTAGGATTGGGAATGTAAGGCCATTTGGGAAATGGAGAAGCAGGAAAAATAATAATAATAAAACAACACAACACAACAAAGTGGAGGAAACGAAGACATGAATCACCCGCATGTATGAGGAGGATGGAGAGACAGACACAAAATAAGAGAGGGGAAGGAGGGGAGGGGGCAATAAAAACGATGGCGTCACACATTCTCACCTGAGAAGGGGGGAGGAAAAAGAAGAAAAAAAGAATTCACGCAGAGAGAAAGAGAGAAATGCACAAAAATTACATGCGGAAAAGAAGCGCCGACAGGGGAGGGGTGATGGTGTTGGTGATGGCACGAGTGTGAAGGGATGAGAAGGAATCCACTTTTTACCGCCCTTTTTTCCTTTTCTGGACTCTCTTCCCCTTTTTTTTTTTTTTTTTTTTTTTTTTTTCTCTGGGGATGCCGCTGTTGTCCCGTCAGTCATGACCGTTGAAGCGGAGGAGGAGGACGCATGAAAAAAAAAATTTTTCTTTTTTACATCAATGTTTTTTTTTTTTTTTTTTTTTTTAAATGTTCGACATCTTATTCTCGGGTTTCGTTTATTATCCTCCTTTCCCTTCTTCTTTTTCTTTCTGGTTTTGTTTTTCTTCTGGTTAATTTTAATTTTAATTTTAATTTGGATTCTTCTTTTTTTGGGGGTTTGTTTGCCTCCCGT